GATGGGATACCAACAAAAAATGGCTCAAAATGACAAATTATTCTCTATTCCTTCCAAGACTAAAACAAAAATTGTCTTTACATAAAAAGTAAATTTAGCATGAGAGAAAACAGGGACTGCCATTCCGAACCTTCTTAGCCTAGATACTTGGTTGATATTCTGGTCTTCAGGCTTTAATATGCTCTAAGTTACTGCCCTGTAATTAGTATGCAGATCACAAAAGCAGTCCTTTTCTGCATACTTCTTCGGGGTCAGTGACTCAGCAAGAGGATCATCAGTACAACTAGGCAACTAATGTGTCCAATGGCAGCCTATTTGGCAGTCTTGTGAATAGTTTCCTTTTTTTTAGTTTTGAATATAGTGTGTGTGGAATGGATAGAACCTCTTTCAGTTTTTTGTGTCCCATTGGGGAGCTTTTCCTTTGCTTTCTAACAGGAAGTGGGTTGAAATCTCTCCTAAAATAGAGGAAGTTCTTTCTAAGACAGTTGTCCCCCTTCCAAAAGGGTCCCCATTGGAAGTTTTACCCTCACCTTCTGTTCCACTGATAGCTGTAAGCTTTTCAGCTTCCCATCAATCTTTGTCCTAGGAAGAATGGTCACTAGCACAAATGGGAAGGATTCACTTTTGTAGCAAAGACACAGACAGCAAGAAGTAACCAACAAGTATCAGGTTTGACTTTAGATATACTGGAAGACACATTGCACTTTTCTGCACTGTTAATGAATAGGCCCAATGGATCCTCTAATCTATGATGCTGACCATGCAGCCATTGCCTGCTTGCTGTATATCAAGTCACTTGTTGCTATTCCTTGCTACTAAATGCATCAGTAACTTGCAAAACAAAGTCAATGAATTAAGACATTCTTTTATTAAAACAATCAGATCAATTAATAATTGTTGATGTTTATTAGGGGTCATTGCCCTTTACAGACTGCTTTCTAGCTTTTTAAAGGGAAACTGTATTGAGGAAGTATGGAAGCTGCCACTGTTGACCTCTCCGTCATGCTACAGTACTTTCTGGGTTATGGATTAGAAACAACTATAGAGATTAGGAGTTCTGTCTTCATTCAATTCAATTCATGTTCCAGGTCAATGTCTAAAAGTTCTAAAGCTAGAGACACCCTGACATCTTGCAATTTCAGAAGATGGCCATTGATGGTTTTCCTATTAGCTTAAGTACAGGTAACCTTTAAAGCTCCTCTACAGCCAGGGAACCTCCCACAACAACGTTATCTGCCACGACCCTCTAACTCAAGGCTAGGCAACCTTGGCTCTACAGCTGTAGTGAAACTATACATCTCATCATGCTTCTGGCTCTAGGAGCCAAGTCTGTGGCTGTCAGAGTCTTGCAATGCCTCATAGCTGGAGTGCCGAGGTTGCCTGCCCCGCTTTAACTAATAGCCTAATTTATTTGGAAAAACATTAGCTAAATGGCTTAAATACCTACTTGACTCTTGAGTCTTCTGTCTTCCTTATTTACAGAGTAGTGGGAGGCTACCTCTTTAAGTGCCCTAATCACTGCTTGGGTGGCATGAACATTGACTGTCTAGCGGCGTGATTTTCACAAACTCCAAAGGACTGCAGCGGTGTGATGACATTATGATGAGGGCAGCATCAAGGCCAGTTAGTGGTGGGCCCAGACTGCAACACTCAATCACCAGTCTCCAACAGAAGAAGAGGGACCACAAAGGGACACAAGGCAGCAGAGTCAAGTAAGTTTAAAAAAAAAAAAATATGGTAAATGGGTGGGAGAGATGGGATCAATATTATTTCTGCCCAGACATGGGCTTCAAATAACCCTAATAAAACTAAATAGCTTTCATTGTACCATCTGAATCCACATCTCATCTACAACTTTAATTCTGTTGCTCCATTTATAACATTTTGCTCCTTAAATTTTTGCTACAAATTCCTACGATGCAAGCCTTGAAACACAGAGGCTTTTCATCAGGTAAAGGCCTCCAATAATGCCCTAAAAGCTCAATTTACACAATTTTACACAATTAGTTTAGTTAGCCATTAAAAGGCAGACAATGTTTTTTGCCTTTTTTTAAGCATTGGAAAATATTTAGTGGTTTGCATTCCGTTTGGTTAGACTACTTGTTTTAATTCTGATTTAACCGCTCCTTAAATCGTCAGCTATAAGGCCTGGTTCACACCTGGGCGTTTTACAGCGCGTTCCTACGCGTATGTAACATGTGAATACCAATGATTGCCTATGGGCATGGTTCCCACCTGGGCGTTTTATTGCACGTAGGAACGCGCTGCAAAACGCCCTATGCCCAAAGAAGTACAGGAGCGAATCGCGGTAAAAACGCACTGCACGAAACGCGTGACAAACGCGCATATTTGGTACGCCTAGGTGTGAACCCAGCCTAACTTGTAAACCCCCAATTAAAGCTAGCAATAAATGGACCAGTACCCCTGCAAGTCCAACAAAGTTGATCATTTTCAATGTCACAATTTTGTCTCTTTTCTCTATGAATCTCTTCAGGTCAAGTTCCAATAGGTATTTTTTTAATCTTAGCTTGTAAATGGTAGTTTGAAAAGAAGAATATTCAGTAGTCATTTAGCAAGCATATATTATTAAGTATTTAGTCAGCATTTGCAGAGCCTAACCCAATCCCAAAGCTCGCCGAGTGCAATCTAATTTTTTTAAGAATTGGCTATGTTTGCTAAAAGTCCTCTGAACTCTGTTTAATATTTGTAAAGTCTACAGCCAGAACGTCCACGTTAAGATATACAGTCAACACTCCAGACAGGAGCTAAAAAGCACTTAGAGGCAAGGTCGTCCTTTTAAAAAGGCAGCCTGAGGCTGTTGCCTGCCACCCCCCTTTCTGGCCAGAGCATTCAAAGTTGTTAAGAGCGAGGCCGGGAGATGCAGAGCCATACACATGTCCAGCTCTTAGCAATTTTGGAATGCTCTGGCTGGCATCCCATTCAGCTCCTGGCAACCATGGTTGCCAGGAGCTGGACGGGATGCCGACCAGAGCTCCCCTCGTTACCACAAGCTGGGTGGGATGCCGGCCAGAAAGCCCTTCACTGCCTGTCTGCCTGGGGCAGTAAAAAGTCTAGGGACATCACTGTTTAGAGGTCTTTACTTTTCAAAGCTGAACTCCTGGCAGATATAAAGGACACAGCTATGTATACAATACTACTTCACTAAAATCAGCCTTGCAGTCTATGTACAGCAAAGCTCGCATTGGCAGACAAAAAAGCAGCACCAAGAGCCAATCAGTTGTGCTGCAGTTTGAGGAAAATACAAGGGAGAGACAGAGGGACAGAGAGATAACTTTATCCGTCTGCTGCTTCTCATATTACAGTCCATTCACAGGGAGTGGGGAGGGACAAGACCTGCAAGTGTTACCGAACTGCAAAAAAAAAAATCAGCTATCCTGACTTGCTAGACAGGGCTATGCTGTTTGGCAGGGCTGTATAACCTGGAAAGAAAATTTGGCAAGTAAAACAGCTCTCTAATACTTATTTCATGTGTGTTTTTGGCGGCTTTAAATGCTTGGAAAATAAATTACTCTTCAGACTAATGTAACATATTGTAGCTAACCATTTCTTTAATGTGGTGGCTCGATTAGTTTTCTCCTTTTATTTCTACCTGGTGACACTGCCGGTGAAACACGTCCTGTTCTAAGGTTACGCCACTCTCTTACTATATTGTATCTATGGAGGAGCAAGGTTGTCACCCTGGGCCGCTTGCTCCTGATTTCGACTGCGGAGCACCTCCTCTTTCACATCTCCATGTAGTTCACATAGTTGACCTGGGCAACAGGTATTTCTTTGCACGTTTGAAACATTTATAATATACACATTCAATGGTATATTTTAGACCAAAAGGGAACAAATATGATAAGTTCATAGCTGGGGGAAGCATACACTTTAGGGTTGAAGGTGAAATCCAGATAGGTGTAAAAACCCTTTTAATCCAGTTATTTTTCACAGACGCACGCCATTTTTAACCTGGGCATGTTGGGTATCCATTTACTTGTTGTAACCTCATCTTTTATATTTTGGATATTATATTGTGTTTTTGGGCACTAAAATGAACATAAGTGTATGCTTTATACAAATGTTGGATTTGATAAAGAGTTGTGCTAATATCAACGTAAAAATTTGCAGCTGCCGCCATTTTATTCTACAGGGTCTTTGCTTTCAGAATATATATAATGGTTTTGGGGGTTTTAAAATGTGGATTATAGCACGTGTGCAAACAACGCCCTGGCAGCGAAAAGTTTCATACTGTGTAGTCTGAAAAGAGGTCCAGGCCCAGGCTGTGCAGACTGAAAGAGGTGCCTGGATTAGAAGCGAGGCTGTTCAAAGTTACAAATGCTTTGTATATCTGGAGTTCAGCTTTTACAAATATGTACTTTGTTTTTGGATGTTTTTGTAAAGCAAACAGTTATCAAATAGCCCACCTTATCAGAAAAAAGATGCGTCCATTTGTGGCCAGCATTATACTTGCTACTTAGCTTATAAGAGTGCTACACTCTGCACACTCTATGACTACCTTAATCCTGCCGTGCTAACGTCCTACAGCTATTAAATAAATGAAACATGTAAGCATTAACCCCCCCCCCCCCCCCTTCCATGTCTCCATAGTTATACATTAAGTCACTTCCTCATAAAGCGGCAGTCTACAGCTTGCGTAAGAACATCTTAGGTTTCTCAGCAAGTAAAGTATTAAAGTACAACTCTACCTTTTCAGAACATTTAATACTACAAGGCAGGAAGGCAAAAAAAACACAAAATCAACTTTCAAAGTATTGCTTATTAACCGTCGTGTTCCCTTAAACTTATGTAGAATCTTGAAGTATCCACCACTGGTTGTTGCCATTGGGGAGTTAAAAATCACACTGAATGCTGTGTAGGAAAACCAACTAAGATAAGAGTGGATAGAGGTTATAGTTCCACCATGGCTATTGACCAAATAATATAGTTCTCCTTTGATTCAGTGGATACTTCAGAACCTGTACAAGTATATTAAAAAATGTAATAGGCATGGTTTATAAAAGTTGACGAAGTACTGCCATAAAATTTCGAATTTGCCAAGGAAGCGGAGACACATTCTCTTGCAGTCGCTTTTAGGTTCATCGTTGTAAAGAGTTCCAAGTCCCCGTAGAGCTGAATGTCTTTGTTAGGATGTTCCAGGGGTAGGCGGTTTTCAAGTGAAACGATGCGCGATCCTTTATTTTCTAATGAGCTCAGATGCCAACTGACAGTCTGGGTCCTGCAGAGGGTCATAGGCCGAGGTTAACTTGACACCAGTTTTCCGTTCGACGCACCAGCATTTTCCACGCTGTCCGTCCAGAGCTGGATGGCACTGCAAGAAGTGGATGAAAGGCATTTAAATGGAAATGGCAGCGGAAATTTCAATGAAAGGTTTGACTAATCCCCATGTGACTATTTGAATCACTTTTATATAAATTATTACAATTAGCAAAAGAAACATTGGGGTTGATTTAAAAACTCTAGGAAAAACTCAAAGTTATGAGAAAAAAAGATAATATTAGTCTAGCCAATGCCGTTTCATGTGCCCTGATGTCTGGCCTATTACAAGTTGGTAATATGATTCCCTTTTCCAGACAGCACCTAACATACATCCCTTATTCACTGACCATACTTTAGGTAGCAGGCAGCCGCTCCTGCTTAAAAATGTAAAGACCTGGTATCGGTGTTGATACTCTGCATTTTCTAACGTACTCGTACTTGTAAAAGTGCCCCGGTACTAAATGCAGATACCGACACTTTAAATTTGTAAACAGAAGCAGCTGCCTGAGGTCAAGCGCTTGCTGGGGACTTCAGTAGCCTTTCTGTGAACCACACGGCTCCTGTTTACAGCGCCGGATGCACATCTCCTCCTCATTCTTCCCAGGGAACCCCCTGCCACCTGCACCCATCCGCAAGGTGAGACCCCGAACAGCTCTGTTAAGATCCTGCACAGCCCCCTGAGACCCTGCACATCCATGGTGAGACCCCCATACAGTCCTAATGAGAGCCTGAACAGCCTCCTGAGACCCCACACAGCCCAACTGAGACCCTGTACAGCCTCCTGAGGCACTGCAAACTCTACCTGAGACCCTGAACAGCCCCTCCTGAGTCCCTGAACAGCCCCTCCTGAGAACCCGCACAGTCTCCCGAGACCGTAAATAGCCTCCTGAGACCCTTCCTGAGACCACACACAGCCTTCCTAAGACCCTGCACTAATCCATTGCATCGTGATCCATTGCCTTGCGATTAATTTTTCAATAGATGCTAACTGCAGGTCAAGGAAAAATGAATGGGTGTGAATGGGGCTAATTCACACCGTTCTGTTCCAATGCATTACGTTACACTGCGTTGAAAGAAAAAGTATAACATGCACTACTTTTTTTCAGCGCAACGTAACACAACGGATCCGGTGTGAACTAGCTCCATTCACACCCATATATTTTTAGGGGCCCTTCCACTAGCATGCATTGAAAAATGTATCACAATGCAAAAGATCGGAAGGAAATCGGGATGTACATTTGCAAGTCAACGGACCCTCCATTGACTATTTCCTTCTAATTTTGGTGTGGACGGGGCTCTGACTGATTATTCTGGGAAATGCTTTAAAATAAATTTTTATGCTCAGTGAAAATGCTGCTCTTCTCTGGCCAGAGCATTCAAAGTTGTTAAGAGCGAGGCTGGGAGATGCAGAGCCATACACATGTCCAGCTCTTAGCAATTTTGGAATGCTCTGGCTGGCATCCCATTCAGCTCCTGGCAACCACTGGTTGCCAGGAGCTGTACGGGATGCCGGCCAGAGCTCCCCTCGTTACCAAAAGCTGGGTGGGATGCCGGCCAGAAAGCCCTTCCCTGCCTGTTTGCCTGGGGCAGTAAAAAGTCTAGGGACATCACTGTTTAGAGGTCTTTACTTTTCAAAGCTGAACTCCTGGCAGATATAAAGGACACAGCTATGTATACAATACTACTTCACTAAAATCAGCCTTGCAGTCTATGTACAGCAAAGCTCACATTGGCAGACGAAAAAGCAGCACTAAGAGCCAATCAGTTGTACTGAAGTTTGAGGAAAATACAAGGGAGAGACAGAGGGACAGAGAGATAACTTTATCCGTCTGCTGCTTCTCATATTACAGTCCATTCACAGGGAGTGGGGAGGGACAAGACCTGCGAGTGTTACCGAAAGGCACAACCATTGTGTAACATTGGAAAGCATATGGGTGCCAGCATGTGCATAAATCATTACAAAGTATACACAGAAACAATGTTTTTTAACATTTACAGAAACAGAAAGGATTATATACACCAAGCTGATCTCTTTTACAGGTGTAGCGCTCACCCCCGAAGGAGCCGCTGCCTGCCCCGTTCATCTCTAGTCTGTCTAGGCTATGTTCTTCTGCTGCCCACACATTAGCATTAACCGCCCTTCTTCTAGTGCCCACAGACTGATGTCCACTCCAGTAGTATAATGCAGAATAATGTTTTATTGAACATCTTCACTGGGGAGAGAGGTAGAGGGGTTCTAAGTTTCCAGGGTAACTGACAAGAGCTCCAGACTCACCAGACCTAGTTGGCATATCAGTGTAGATTACACCCTTTCCCTTACACAAGCCCATGCCCACCCTCAGGCCTAGCCTGGGGGCAGGCTGAACAGCACCCAGCCCTATTCCATGGCTGGTCCCGGCTAGTCTGAGCACTGGGCAAATCCCTCCAGTATATGTACCCTATCCCAGCATGCACCACTGGTTGAGAGAAACCCAATGATTGGCTGCTGTACTGTACATAGAATACAGTGCCTCTTATTGGCTGTCCCACAATATAACAGAGTCACACTCCGTCTAGGGGGGTACAGGCAATGCCAGACACCTGGAATTAACCAGATAATTGCCACTATAAATCCAGCCGTGCTGACCCCTGGCTATCACTAAATGTCTAGTAGCCACATCACAGAAGGTGATGGGGGCTACACAGGTATATCGAAAAAATCTTTGAATAGACTGCACATTCCCTTTAAATGGTTCTGCAAGTGCAAGGAGGTGATAATTCGGATCACCGTTCCAACTTCTGGGTCCTGTTGCATGTTTAATTTCTATTCTTACATTACTGAATCTTGTTAATCACTTATTTTCTTACCTGCTTTGGATTGAAGTATCCATCTCGGTCACAGTTTGGTATTGGGGTATTCAAAAATTCCTCTTGCGTTTTGGTCCTGAGTGTTGCTAATCTCTCCAGTGCTATGTTCAACGCCAAGTGACAAGTACCCTAGACAAATCGGAAAGCATTTAATGAAAGCCCAGAAAAACTTTTTTTTAATTTTGGGTGGAGTGGGGATGGGTTAGAACATCTGTCCTTTTTACTGCTAGCTGTAAAACCATCAGGGAGATCTTCCATCTTTTCTATGTGGTCACCGAGACAGACAGTAAAAAAAGTCTCTCAAATGTGGACACAGACAGCAATAAAGCTTGTCAGATGCCATAAGCTCTCTCCACTCAATGCAATGCTAAAAATCATAGTCAAAACACGGTGTAGTCACCCAGGGATCGGAAGTGTGTTATTCATCACATTGATAAGCTCATCTCAATGTCACTCTGCATTCTCTTCCTATCAGCATGCTTCTTGATAGCATGCTCTCATGCTCCAGCTCTGCAATACAGGGACTGGAATAGGCTAATACCGAGGGCCGTCCCCATAATGAAGCGGTCTGAGGCATCTCATTTGGGGGTGTTGGGGGACGGTCACAGCATCCCAGGTTGCTAAGAGCTCTCAGCAACCTGTAAAGCTCTGTCTAGCATCCTGCCCAGCTCGATGACATCACCAGTTGCCTAGAGTTGAGCGGGATGGTCTGGCTTGTGTTCCACCCAGCTCCTGGCAACCAGTGACTTCAGGGAGCTGGGTGGCATGCCAGACAGAACAGTGTGGTCCAGTGTCCGCTTTGTTGAGTGCATAGTTGGGTCTATAGCTATCAGCAGTTAGTATACATATTCTATCAGTTTACTTACAATGCCCCGAAAACAGGATCTTTCTGGAATATCCCCAGAATACCTGTAAAATTACATTTTGTTCTACATCTGATACTTATGTGGTTACTGATAACCACAAAGTGATTATTTTTCAGCCAGGTGAAAAATGAATAAAGAAACCAATATACCTAGGCTTCAAAATTCTCTAAAGAGTGGATTAAAGGCCCTGAAGTCTTGTGAGGTCTTGCGATCTATCAATATTAAATTGTTGTTATCATCCAATAGCTGCTGACAAAGTCTGTGCCAATCCAACCACTATCAGAACACATAACGTTTCCATTGAACGCATAATTTCTTGTTTCTTCAAGCCCTGATGAAGGGCCTGGTGTGTTCCATCTAAAATGCGTTGGCTTCTGTTACAAATTTACATCTGGACTCAAATATTACAGTGTGGTGCTTCAATTTTAGACCACTTCATCAAATACTCTCTAGGACACACAACCCATGACCCAGTAGATTTGCTTAGATAAATGGAGGAATTTTCCAAATCATTATACCGCCATTTTTGTGGTCAGCTTTAGAAGGATAAACATTATAGATGACTCTTATGTGCCTTCTCTTACCATCTGAGTGGGTAAATTATTGGCAGCTTGACGGCTGAAAGTCAGTTTTTTCATTCTCTGCATGGTGTTTCGGTTTGCTTTTGCTTGTTCTTTCTGGAGACAAGTCTTGTCATTCGTAGGGCAAGGGTTCAAGCTGATATTGGGAAGGTCGTCTTCTGCTGAAAAAGGTTCAGAGATCATAAATGATGAGATGATCATTGTAAAATTTCAGAGGTTTTCTACGGTGGAAAAGCATGCAAAGAAATCATTGATGGGTAAAGTAAAGTCATAAACTGGCGTTGTGGTTAGCACTTCTGCCTTGCAGCACTGGACCCTGGCCAGGTCACTATCTGCAAGGAGTTTGCATGTTCTCCCTGTGCTTGCATGGGTTTCCTCTGGGTGCTCCGGTTTCCTCCCACACCCCAAAGACATGCTGTAATGTTAATTGGCTCCTCTCAAAATTGGCCCTTGTATGTATGCATGGGAGATAGGGACCTTAGATTGTGAGCTCCTTGAGGGCAGGAACTGATGTGAATGTGCTCTATGTAAAGTGCTGCGTAAATTGTCTGCTCTATATAAATACCTGTAATAAATTAATAAATAATAAACTACTTGTACTTGGTTACACATCATAAAAGTATTGGGACACCCCTCCAAATCATTGGATTCAGGTGTTCCAATCACCTCCATGGCCACAGGTGTGTAAAATCAAGCACCTCGGCATGCAGACGCTTCTACAAACATTTGTGAAAGAATGGGTCACTCTCAGGAGCTCAGTGAATCCAAGCGTGGTACCGTGATAGGTTGCCACCTGTGCAATAAGTCCATCCGTGAAATGTCCTTGCTACTAAATATTCCACGGTCACCTGTGGTATTATAACAAAGTGGAAGCAACTGGGAACAACAGCAACTCAGCCACGAAGTGGTAAGCCACGTAAAATGACAGAGCGGGGTCAGCACATGCTGAAGCGCACAGTGTGTAGTGTGGCCTTTCGATTGGTACAACAACAGTGCGTAGAGAGCTTCATGGAATGGGTTAACATGGCTGAGCAGCGGCTTCCAAGTCTTACATCACCAAGTGCAATGCAAAGTCTCGGATGCAGTGGTGTAATGCACTGCACTCTAGAGAAGTGGAGACGTGTTCTCTGGAGTGACGAATCATGCTTATCTGTCAATCTGTCAATCCAATGGACGTGTCTGGGTTTGGCGGTTGCAAGGAGAACGGTACCTGCCTGACCGCATTGTGCCAAGTGTAAAGTTAGGTGGAGGGGGGATTATGGTGTGGGGTTGTTTTTCAGGGGTTGGGCTTGGCCCCTTAGTTCCAGTGAAGGGAACTCGTAAGGCATCAGCATACCAAGACATTTTGGACAATTTCATGCTCCCAACTTTGTGGGAACAGTTTGGGGATGGCCCCTTCCTGTTCCAACATGACTGCGCACTAGTGCACAAAGCAAGGTCCATAAAGACATGGATGAGCAAATTTGGGGTGGAGGAACTTGACTGGCCTGCGCAGAGTCCTCATCTCAACCCGATAGAACACCTATCTAGAGGCAGAGCCAGCTGTATCCGCCCCCTCCCCCATCCATTCCGCCAGTCAGCACTGGAGGATCGGAGCGGGGAGGGGGGAATCCAGCCCCTCCTCTGTCACGGCAGAGGGCAATGACAGGATCGAGAAGTGAGCGAACGCTGGTATGTGTTCGCTCACTTCCCGATCTACTCAGCCGACCTGTGACAGTCTCATTGTCACAGGTCGGCTAGAACTATGAGGTGAGTGAAAAGCACTCACCTCATAGTTCTCCTTTAAGGGCTCTGCACACCTGTGCAATCATCAAGTGCTGGCCACTACCAAACCATGGACCCAGGAATAGAGATTTCATCCCTCCCAACTCTCTTTGAAATCTGCCGGTTATCGTATCCCAAGCAGAATCCAGACAAACCCTTGCATCCGGACACCTCTTAGCCCCTCTGGCTAAGAGTGCAGGGTGATCATAAAACCGAATTCCACAGTGGGATTGCCACACAGTACCACAATCCGTAATAACCACAGACCCCTGATAAAGTCAATATGTACATAAGGGTGGAGCTAAATACGAGCAGACCCGGAAGTGTTCGGTGAGAGAGCCTGGAGTTCGGCTAACAATACCTTAGGAGACTGGAAACTAGCCAAGATTCCAGGTCTATGTGCACGAAATTGAGTGCACCTAAATATCTGGGAGTATTTTTATACACTTTAATAAATCCCTCTGTTTTATACCTCTGTTTTATATATTGCATACAATCATAAAAAATTATTTATTAAACAAGAGAGATTTCAGAACTGAGAGAAGATAAATCCAATGGGACTATTAAACACATTTTAAACAAAGAGAGCACCTCCATCGTGTAAACAAATCCCCACTTGGATTTAGATAAGCAAATAGGTAAGAGCCTTCCATTGGATAGGTTCAGCAACATTCATGTCCCAAAAAATGAGACTTTACACAGTGGTCTGACTCTCCCATCATCACTACAAGATCTTGGTGAAAAAGGAATGCAACTCTTAATGGAAATAAATGTTTTGACATTGCATAAGCTTACCGTAACGACGCCAACAATGAATGCATGCCGTAATCAAAGCTAAGGGCTTTCAATCAATTGAAATATTAGAGTGGGTGACATTTTCTTGGTTAGGCAGTGTATTTAATTCCATTACTGGAAGTTAGTTAAAAGACATGCACTTGTAAATGTGCCTGAAATATGAACTATATGAGCTGTACTCAGGCAACAGTTAGATGCACCAAGGGTCTAACATATAAAACTAGAGCAATCTGATGCTTTCAGCTGTTATTTGCAGCCAATCAAAATGTATCTTTCATTCTTTAAGAAGCTGCTAGAGCAACAGCTCCATTATCTGCAGCTTTCCTTGCTTGCATTATACTGATGAAGTGAAAGAGTCTGCACGTTATGGACTCATTTCTGCAGCATGGTAGAGATCAGAGTTAGCGAAGGGATAGGCAGTCTGATCAAGTGACACAGACAGAGAGGAGCCAGGAAAAGTGTTAACGCTTTGGGGAGTTGCTGCCTTTGGCAAATTTACTAGTAAAATAACATCAAAGCTACAGCGCAAACTCCATTGTTGGGAGCAAGGTGTTAATGGGGTCATCCTTGCCTCCCTTTTCCCTCCTCCCCATCTCGCCGTCTGCTTTCTGCTGCTCTGCAGCTCCAGTTTTCTTATGAGCTCATGGAAAGTCTGACAGACCCTCCAGAAGGTGCTGGCTAGCCCAAGTGTATTTCGCTCGAGCATAGCTGGCTTGACATCCATTCAAGATGGTAATCACAGAAAGCAGCTTGGAGCCTTGCCAGGCTGGCAAGTGATTTTCCCACTTTATGGGCAACAAGGGAGGATGTAAGGAATTTTAACGTCTTGGCTGCTGGAGGACTGTACAGAATGCTGAAAAGTTACAAACCCAAGCAACTTTTTCATGTCACTGAGTAAAGAAATGCCAGGACGGCAACAGACATTCCCATTTAAGTTTATTCCTCAAGTTCGTCTCACTTAAAGTCTGACCCCAGCCAAAACTTTTTCTTAGTGATGAATAGTCAGGGTGAGGTTATAACTTTTTGACTCCACTGGGGAGATTTCTTCTTACATGTTATCCATGTGACACTAGAAATGAAGGGAATGGCGAGCACTGTCAGCAAAACCAAAAGTCACAGAGGTTCTAACCTTCCTCACTGTACTAAAATGTGCGTTGTTGCTGTCTTTGGCCCTCTTTCAATAGATTTATCGTCATTTTCTGTCTCTTATGGGTATAGGAATGGACACAGTCAGCAATAAAAAAATATTGCCGAGGTTCTAAACCTTCTCCATTCTATTTAAGACAAAACATTTTGGCTGCATGTCGGTGTTTCACTGTCCTTCCTGTCCATGCCATTTTTCAGTATTCAGCACTGCAGTAGTTTGACTAACATTTATTTAGTCATGCAACTTATTTTATCAGAGGGGATGTTTTCTGAGCGAAGGCTGTGTGGTGATAAAGATACAGTTGTCCTTTAAAGTCGCACCTCATAGCTGACAAGCCACACTCATGTTTCTTTTGTAACAGCATAAACTGTAATTATCCTATAAAAAGAGTATATTTTTCATTTAATGAAGTTGTTATTATTATTGTAACAAAGTCCGGGAATCCGTGCCAGATTTTCCTTTTGGTCCTTGGTGCTTGGCTGACAACTTATGGTGTGTCACAAGGCCGCAGTCAATGTGCACTCCTCCTCCCCAATTTAGCTCTACCTCACTTGTTGCTCTTGGTTCAAGCAACAAGTCTTATCTCTTGTGTCAAACCCCCTTGTGTTTCCTGTGATTGGCATTCCCAGTGCTTTCTTGGTTCCCCATGCTTTTGGCTTCCTGTGTACCCCGTTGGCTTACCTGCTTGGCTGTATTCCATACCTTGCTCTTGGAGTTCATGTTATATCCTAAGTCTCCAGTGTGCACCTGTGTATATTCCTTGAGAATTTCCTTTGCTTTCATCTGTGTGCTGTAAGTCATGCTATACAGCTCAGTGTTCCTATTCCCCAGGCTCTATATTATATTTTTTATCCCTGAACATAACAAATAGTAAGGATCTCTTCTATGCCAGTGTTGCTAGCAACACAGAGCGCACAGGTGTCCTTCCTGTGCCCTTCGTTCATTCTCCTTTACTGCTCCCTCCCTCCTTTACAATCTCTCCATAGATCTCAAATAACTCCATCACTCATCTATTTCATTTTGTTCCTTTAATTTTTTTCCTACACAAATCTATTCCACTTTCTAGTTTATTTCTTATTTCTAAATCACAGTAAACGATGTATGTCTCCTGCATAGCCCCAGTGGCTTTTCTCTCCCATTCTGCCCTTCTAATCTAAGATTCTAAAGTAGATTCTATTCTACCCTGCTTCTTTCTTATCCCTTAAAGAGGGATAATAAGGACAGGAATACAAAAGCTACCATTATTATTATTATTATACAGGATTTATATAGCACCAACAGTTTGCGCAGCGCTTTACAATATCCAGGCGGATATGTCAGTTGGTAGATTAGTAACATGCAAGGACACTGAGGGGGTGAGTTGTGAAGTGGAAAGATATATTTGAGTGTCTTCGGCATAGAGATGGTATTGGTAGCCATGTGAGGTTATTAACTGACCAAGGGAGGAAGTGTAGA